CGTGCTTCCTCCTCCAGCAGCTCGTGCGAGGCCGTTGCTATAGCAATGGGGAGGCAGCCGTGGCCTGTTGCTGCTGTTGCAGTGGTGGAGGTGCCCGGCGCAGGCGGGTGTGGGCAGGGCTGGCGCTCCGGGCTGTGACCCCTGCCTCTGGCACCGCAGCCGCCCTCACCCTGGCTTCGTGTGGCACGCGCCTTCCCGCAGCCCTGCGGGTGCCTTCTCAGTGGGTCCTGGGCTCGGTCCTGGCTCAGGGAGCGGGTGGAGGCTGGCACGGGCTGGGGCGGGTGTGGGGTGCGGACACACAGCATGGTGTTCCCGGCCACAGAGAGCTATTGTCTGAGCACAGTAAACACAGTGGCCACCCCATCCCGGGGTCTGGGGGCTTGGGCCCTAGGCCATCAGGGACACCGCCAGAGTGGGGGCAAGAAGAGACTCATGGTCTGAGCTGGGGGGTGCCCTCAGGCAGGGGGCGGCAGGGCCCTTCTGGCCTGAGGGTCTCCCAGAGAGGGCAGCTGGCCCAAACTCCCCCCCTGAACCAGGGCCAGGTGACAGGAACTGGAAGGTTCTTCCTTTCCTAGGGGAAGGGGAAGGGGAGGGGAGGTCTGGCCACCTCTGGCTCCTCTTTCCCACCCCACACAGGCCCCACTGGTGCCCACCCTGGTGCCCAGCCCCGGCAGCAGGAGTTGTCCTGGGGAAACCAGACCCAGAGGCCTGGGATGGGTAGGGCTGTCCTGGGCCGGGGGGGCCAGGGTGGAAAGAGCTTCCTTTGCCTCCGCCCCTGGAGGCTGTCTGACCTGACCAGGTCTCCCTGGAGGCTCAGGGCCCCGGGCCCCATCTCCCAGGCCACGCTTCAGTAGTGGGGGGCATGTGGGAGTGGCAGGCAGGGCGGTGGCTCAGACGGTCTCCAGGATGCTGCCCCGTGGCCGTGGAGGTGGGGAGGGAGGAGACGAGCTGGGATAGACAGGATCGGAGTGGACCGCAGCTGGCCGATCTGTCCCTGCTGGCCCTGAGGCACCACCGAGGGCAAGTGGCCCCTGTTGGGACCCGCAGAGCCTGGGCTGGGGACAGGAGATCTCATTCGCTTGGGCTGGATAGTGCTTACCATCTTGGTGCCCTGCAAGGGCCTGCACTGACCTTCCCTGGCCCCCAGGGAGCACGGGCTCCAGCTGGGCTAGGCCGGCCCTATGGGGGCGGGGGGCTCCAGAGGCCCGGGCCAGGGCCCGTCTGTCCAGCCCCAGGCATGGTGGGTGGGGAAGCCGGGCTGCCTCGCTGTGTGGCCTCACAGGCCTGCCCTTTCCAGGGGGTCTTGGCTTTCGAAATCTTCATTCCCCTGGTTCTGTTCTTCATCCTGCTGGGCCTGCGGCAGAAGAAGCCCACCATCTCCGTGAAGGAAGGTGAGGGCTGGGGCCAGGGGCAGGGCCCGGGTGGGGGGCAGGCAGGCAGCCCCCGTGGCATCACACATGCCCGCTCTGTGTGCGCTGTCTGCACACATGTCGCGCTCCCGGGACTCCCTGAGGCACAGTCAGGGCGCCTGTTCCCCAGCGTGGCGGCTGCAGCTCCTGGCTGGGCCGTGTGGCCACGCGTGCCGGTGGCGCCTGTTTCCGGCAGGCCCAGGCACTCACTGGTCTCCTCTGTTCTGTTTTGACCCCCCACCCCGCATGGTCTCTTGTCCTCGCCTGGCCTGCATGCAGTCTGTAAGTGAGCCCGCCTCCTTCTGGCCGGCCCAGGAGGCGCCTTGGGATGGCGGGGCTTCCTGGTGCGGTCTGCACCCCTCCCCGCTTGCATTAACGCCTTTCCCAGGCCGGAGGGTCCTGCGGAGCCCCGTGGAACATCAGGAGTCTCTGGCTCCGGACTGGGGTGGTGGGTGGTCAGGTGGGCAGCAGCAGGAAGTGACGGCCCGGGCCCAGGGCCACAGCTGGTGCCCGAGTCAGACTGCAGGAGCCTCCCTACCTGGCCACGCCTTCTGGGGCACGGGGGCTGAGGCCGGGCTGGCCTGGGCTGGGGCTGGGTCCGTCTGGCCATTCTCCCCTCATACTCCTGTGGGCTCCTGCACTCACTCTGCTAACCAGTGGGCCAGGGAGGTCAGAGGTCATGCCCAGAGGGGGCCCACATGCTCCCCTGTGCTCTGTGGGCAGTGCCATTCCTGAAGTTTTTTGGAGGGAGAATGCCAGGGCGCTTTGGCCCTGCACTAGCTAAGGGGAGAGGGGTGCTCGGAGAGTTCTGGTGGCGGGGGGCAGATGGCCCCTTGACCTCTGACCTGCTGGAGGCATCTGCTCCAGAGCTCTTGGCCTGGGCACAGCGGGGGCCAGGGCGCTGTCTGTGTGTTTGTCTCCCCTAATGCTGATGCTCCTTCCTGACTTCTCTAAATTTCTCCTCCTGGCTCTTTGTGATTCCTCTGCCCCCAACCCCCATCCCCTGCGGCCCCCACTGTCGGTCCTGCCAGCCTTCTACACGGCCGCGCCCCTGACATCCGCCGGCATCTTGCCCGTCATGCAGTCCCTGTGCCCCGACGGCCAGCGGGATGAGTTCGGCTTCCTGCAGTATGCCAACTCCACGTGAGTGCCCAGCTCCCCCCCCGTGTGCCCAGGCCCCCTGGTCCAGTGGGTGATGGCCTGTGTGGTGCAGGGTCACACAGCTGCTGGAACGCCTGGACCGCGTGGTGGAGGAGGGGAACCTGTTCGACCCAGCGCGGCCCAGCCTGGGCTCAGAGCTCGAGGCCCTGCGGCAGCACCTGGAGGCCCTGAGCGCCGGCCCACGCCCCTGGGGGAGCCCCGCGGACAGATCTGCAGGTGCGGCTGTGGAGGGAGGCTGGGGTGTGGCCAGCCCGAGTTCTGCAGCCACTGGGCCGGACCCTGTCTTGCCTCCCACTGGGACTCCTTCCTGGCCTGGCCGAGTTCTTGCCCACACACGTGCTTGGGCGGGCTGTGGGCCCTGGGGTGCTGGGCTCGGCTCGGAGGTGTCTTGCTGGGGGGGACAGGCCCTCAGCTGTGTCCTCCTGCCCGTCCAGTGTCCTCCTTCTCTCTGGACTCGGTGGCCAGGGACCCGCGGGAGCTCTGGCGCTTCCTGGTGCAGAACTTGTCACTGCCCAACAGCACAGCCCAGGCCCTCTTGGCTGCCCGCGTGGACCCGCCCGAGGTGAGTGGGTGTCTGTGTGCAGTGGAGGCAGTGCCTAGCCCGGGCCTCCCCACACTCCCTGGCAGCAGGGGCCTGCGTGGGCAGCTGGGCCGCCTGGGCCCTGCGCCCCTGCCTGAGCCTTACCCTCACGCCCCAGGTCTACCGCCTGCTCTATGGCCCGTTGCCTGCCCTGAGCTCTGAGTCAGGCCTTCCCAGGGGCCAGAAACCCTGGAGCCGCCTGGGTGGCAATCCCCTGTTCCAGATGGAGGTGAGGGCACCTATCAGTGGGAAGGGAGGTGTGTTGACTGCCTCGGGGGGTGAGGAAAGGGCCCCCCTTGATGATACAAAGTTCTTCTTGGGGGTTTGGGCGGCTTGCGGGGTGCAGTTGAGTGCCCGTGTTTCTCTTCCTTTTTAAAAATGTTATTTATAGAGATGGGGTCTCACTGTGTTGCCCAGACTGGTCTCAAACTCCCAGGCCCAAGCAGTCTTCCCGTCTCCATCTCCCCAAGTGCTGGGATTACAGGCAGTGCTGGGCCACCACACCCAACCATGAGTGCCCATGTTATAGCACCCAGGCAGCCTTGGAGCTGGCCCAGGAGGTGGCGGGGGTGGGGCTGAGGCTTGAGGCCCTCCTGGGCCCTGCTTGGCTGGAGGCAGGGTCCCAGTGGCCCTGGCTGACCCCTTCTGCTATCCCCAGGAGCTGCTACTGGCCCCTACCCTCCTGGAGCAACTCACCTGTGCGCCGGGCTCCAGGGAGCTGGGCCGGATCCTCTCCGTGCCCGAGGCTCAGAGGACGGCCCTGCAGGGCTACCGGAACACCGTCTGCAGTGGGCAGGCTGCCGCTCGTGCTCAGCGCTTCTCCGGGCTGGCCGCTGAGCTCCGGAGCCAGCTGGACATGGCCAAGGTCGCCCAGCAGGTGAGGCCCTGCCTGCCCGCTGGCTGCCTGGGCAGAGGAGGGGCTGAACTGCCTGGTGAGCTCAGGGGCTCCTGGGCCTGGGCTGTGTATGGCATGGTGCCTGTGGGCGGCGTCCAGTGCCCCCGGCGATGCCGTGACTCATGCCCTGACCCTGCCCGCCCCTCACCCCGGTCTGTCTTGCCAGGCTGCAGAGCCGCCCCTGCCCTTCTCCAGCTTGCGTCTCCTGTCCTGTCCCTGGCCTCCGTTACCCACTGCAGCTCCCCCAGGGCTGCCCTCCCTTCCACAGCCCCACGTGCTGGTCTCCCCACAGCTGGGCCTGGACGCCCCCAACGTCTCAGACTCCGAGCCGCAGACGCCCCCCCCGCGGAGGCTGCAGGCACTTCTGGGGGACCTGCTGGATGCCCAGAAGGTCCTGCAGGATGTGGACGTCTTGTCAGCCCTGGCTCTGCTGCTGCCCCAGGGTGCCTGTGCCGGCCGGGCCCCAGGGTCCCCCGCCAGCGGCCCGAGCGGGACAGGCAATGCCACTGGGGCAGGGACGGGTGCAGGCTCTAACGCCACGGCCGAGGAGGGCGCGCCGTCTGCTGCGGCCTCAGCCTCCCCGGACGCACTGCAGGGCCAGTGCTCGGCCTTTGTGCAGCTCTGGGCAGCCCTGCAGCCCATCTTGTGTGGCAACAACCGGTAGGTCGCTGGCGGGAGGTGGGGGAGTGGGGGACAGGGGCGGCGAGGACAG